TTCCAACAAATTTTAAAGAAATTTCAACAAATTTTAAAGAAATTCTAACAAAATTTCATAGAAATTTCAGTTTAATTTTAGAGAAATTTTATGATTTTTCAATATTTAGCTGAAAAATTCATTTTTAGTGAAATTTTAGCAAAGTTTAGTGAAGTTTCAGCAATTTCGATGAAACGTTCCAAAACGCAGAATAATTTCAGCAAAATTTTTTTACCAGAGTTATTATAAATATATTGTATATTATAAATATTATAAATATTAATTTATAAATACCCCTTATAAATATTTTAATTCTTTACCTCACACTTTCTTTAAAAAATTAATTTTCTCTAAATGGTCAGCCGATTATATTTTGTAACCTCACTAATCACCACGTTTTATTTTATTCTGACATTTCTCGCTTGTTGGAATATGTTGGAGCATGCGACGCGAATAAACCTAAGACTTAAGTCGCGATACAAAACAATAGAAAGAACGTATTCGCTCAACTCGCGCCAACTTGCGCCAACTTGCACGATAATAAAACTGCCAGGGTGCGCTAACGTTAACCAGAATTCTGGTAATGTTGCATATGTCTAGTGAATATAACTAGATGTTTTGTGGATCCAACTGGAAAATATTAAACAAATCCTTATAGTATAATCTACCAAACGGTCTAGTTATAAAATCTCGAGTCCTGTTATAATAACCAGAAATTCTACTAAATTTAACCAAAATTCAACCTTATACGTCTTGTTGATACAATCAAACTATTTTTCTTAGTGTAGATATAAAACACAAGATAACATTTATTCTAGTGTACGAGGCTGAATTCAAACACACACGATTAAATAAAGAAATATAAATAGCCATATAGATAAGTAGATTAAGATTAGTGTGAAAAGAACCCAGCAAACACAAAGTTATATGTAACGTATCTGTTAGTTGTGATTTCCCACTCAACAATGTAACTGTAATATAACACACGTGTTATATTACAATTATATTATTGAGTGGGAAATTACAACTAACAGGTACGTTACATGTAACTTTGTGTTTGCTGGGAATATTCTTTCGTAGATAAAACTCGATCCAGCTTGTTAAAACTAGATGAGAAATGAAATCATATCGGTTTTGCGAGAAGAAGAAATATAAATAAAAGGAAGAAAAAAAAATAGAAGGAATAAGAGAGAGAAAAAAGAAAGGGTAATTACGGAGATGACGGCCGACCTCACCGATTTTAATGAAATTAGGCTCATTCGATGCGTTTTTGCATGAAACGAACGAATCTGGCAGAAATAAGCGTCGCTCTGCCCCGCGAACCGAGATATTTAGCGTTAAAGTTCACGACCATTCAGGTTAGGAAATCTGTCATAC